GATGTTATACTTAATTCCACTGAGAGCCATTCTATTTCCTGTCTTCTTAAGCGATGTAATAGAGCATTCCACTGAGAGCCATTTCACCTTGGGATATTACTCTCCCAAGTAAACAACTGAGGGTACACAGTAATGCCACAACTGCAGCCGGACTGGCATTTCAGATCCAGCCATTCAGCTCCCAAGAGACTAGTTATATCCCATTAAAATGATGGTATCCCATCCAGGGTGTCCCCTGCCTTCCATTTCCTGGGACGGTTTCCCAGATCTTCCTAACCCTGACCCTGAGTGCATGTTTATAGAAAATGGATGGATGGCTATTTTAAAACGAACAAACAAAACTACTGAGAAATGGAAAACTTTACATCAAAGGTTGAGCACTCCAGTTTAAGGGGAAAAACAAGTTCCTTGTAGATGCAAACAAAAGGCAATTTCCTGCTTGATTAAAAAGACGCCACTGTAAGAGCTGAGCTAAATAAGGTGACAGTTGCTGAGACTTACTGTCCTTCTGCGTGCCGGCGCCGGCTGCCGAGCCGGCCGAGGTGCGGCCCACCGGACTGGCATGCTTGGGGGTCCTCCCAGGGATCTTCAGGCCGCTGGGTTTCAGCATGTTCTGTTCTCTATGCCGCAAATGCCCAGCGGCGTCAGTGGCGATGAAACCTGTCAGGCCTCGGAGATCTGGCTCTTCCCAGCCATTTCCCTGTGAAACAAACTGCAATGTGGGTACGGGGCGCACATGTAGCTCAGGCAGGCAGAAGCGGGGGCCATTGTTCCAGCACTGCAATCGGAGCGACTCCGGAGAGACTCTGGGGAGAGTCCAGGTGTCACCTTGAGCCGGACAGCCAGAGGGAAAGAGGCGCAGAAATCACAGCCAGTTACAGTGCTGCCCGCTGGAGCCTGGATGCACACGGCCCCCAAAAGCCGGCAGCACCCTGCCCACGTCCCCAGCCCGTCTCTCTGTCGCCTAACTGTGAAACTACACGTGGGAACTTACTGGAAACACTGCCGGCGACATGTTGTCCAGGAGTGTGTCCTGCGAAGGCCACGAATTAGCCTGCAGCTCCTCTGACAGCAGCAGCCCGATTTTTTTTTTTTTTTTTTTTTTTTAAGATTTAAAAACGTAATTTTAAATGACAGTCGATTTCCTGTCACATGCTACAATGGCACTACTGAAATGTATCTTGTCTGCTTTTTACCTACCCGTGTGCATCAGTTAAAATCCGGAACTATTTAACATCACTGACCATACAAAATTTGAGGGCATCACGTTATATTATATGTAATATATATATATATATATAGAGAGAGAGAGAATCCTACGTCAGTCCTACACCGCCTGGAAACCAAAATCATCGCGCTGTGACGCCTTACACATTTTGATCAAATAAAACCAAGCTGATCATTTCAGGACAATGCAGTGATCGGCATTATATTTCAACACAGCGAGCCCGCGCCTTACGCACAGCACTAACAACGCTGGGTTTAGCATCTTACCGGCTTTAGAGGACACAGTCACCGTTTGATTTTCCGTATTTCCCTTAGGCTGCGTTATATTTGACCTGATATAAAATCTGTCAAATCCTACCTTACAGCGCCGAAGAGGCCGGACCTGTATTTGCTGTCATGTATCCCTATTTTACAATTAAAATGCATGACCAGAGAAGCGGAAAATGCAGTTGTCTTTGTGAAGACTACAACATATAAACGGGTATATTTAAAGCCAGTCCCAAAGGCGGTGCACAGGGGCGCTGGATACTCTGTGTCATTAATTAAAATGCATGATCATTGTATAGGAAAATGCATCTGTGTTTGTTGTTAATACTATATAAAGGAGTAAAGAAGGTGTATTTAAAACCAGACTATCAAAAAGGTGGTGAACCGGGGTGCTAGACACTCTGTATCATTAATTAAAATGAATTTGTGCTTGTTGTTAATATTATATAAAGGAGTATAAGTGCTGGATATAAATGTGGAATATACACGAGGAGAATAAATGCTGTATGTAAAGCCAGGCTATCATAAAGGCGGTGCACAGGGGCGCTGGACATTGTATCACTTGCCCGCTCCCATTGTTTTCAGTCGCCCTCATCTTGCTCATTATTGCTTTTTATCCACAAAGGACCGACGTACAATGATCCATAAGAGTAAAAGCTCACCCGTATAAGTGTGTATTTCCCCCGGTGCTGGATGCGCCTGGATCGAGGAGCAGTTCCACGGCGCCCTGCACTCCGTCCGCGGTGGCCACTCCCTTGCAGCCGAGCCGGAGATGCGATAAATATGGATGCTGAGCTGGAGAAAAAGAGGAGCCGCAGCAGCGTGAAACCTCAGCGGTGCGCAAGCGGCGTAAATGCGTTTTAATGCACCGGCATCCGCAGCACCGGCTCCCTGCTCTTCGTACAGGCGGCGGAGGCTCGGCTTGTGCCGCTGATCGGCAGTATGGGAGCCGGGGGGCTGGGGGGGGTGGCTTGGCTTTTTTCCTCCACCCAGTCAGCTCTGCCGGGCGGCCTCGTTTTGCATTTTCCCTGCCGAGCGTCTCCCTCCGGCGCAGGCTGAGGCAGACAAAGAGCAGCCGGGGAGGGGGGCGGGGGCGAGCCGGGAAAAGCTGACCGGCAGCGATCCGCGACCATGTGGAACACTATCTCCTAAAACAACAATACCTCCATCACAGAAAGGCATTTTATTATCGTAAAACAGGTATCAACGAAGCATATTTCTGCTGATAGACCTACGCAGCTGCAGAGCGGCTCACATTGCCACTTTAATTGGTCTTGGTATAGAGGAAATATAACACCATTCGTGATCGACACACATGTCTACTTTAAAATAATGTACCTGTCAAATAACATTTTGTAAAATAATGTTTTTACAGTCATGGGCAAAGACGGGAGGGGGGGGGCACATTTATGTCCAGGGTGTGTCAGGCCTGCAGCAGTACCTGAGCACAGCATCACCTTCGCTGACAGTGGCTGTTAACTTGTTTACTGGGCTCCCAGTAAGATAGACTGAGTTACTGGTGTGTAATTTTACTGAGCTTACGGATCAGACAGGGTGCAGCAATTGCTCGGGTGCATGAAGTTGATGTAGACCCGAGTGTGTGTGTGTGTGTTGGGGGGATGTTGTGTTAAATGCATGGTGTTAGTCTGACTGTGGATCAAACGCAATTGGAAGGAAATATATACCCCCTCATTTCAGCAGATGCAGGGTAACACACTCACTGACCAAACATATCTAACTTATATTAAATATGTAAATATTATACGATAACACTGTCATAAGACATTAATGTGGATATTAATATTAATATGCCTGACTGCTTGCACTGTCAGCTGCCTATTAAAATTAAGCGGTAATTTTCCGATGTCTTCGATCAGCAAGACGTCGCTTCTTTACCGTTAAACTTTATCTCGGATCTTTTTGCTTGTTCGGATAAAGGGGCGATGCTTATTGGGTGCCGCGCGCACACTCACGCACACATACACACACACACACACACACTCTCGTGTACACACTGCGAGTACCAAGGGGCGGTCGCAGCCTCCGGAGGAGAGGAACGAAAACAGGAAATGAATTCTTTCTCCCGGCTCGGGCATGTGGGCAGCCTGTGTCCCCGCTCTCACATGGCTGCAGAGAACTCGTCCGACGCAGTACTGCGGTCAGTACGGAGAAAATCTCTCCTCCGTATTTACCAAACATACACACTGCATCAGCTACCCCGGTGAAAGCATAAAACAGCCTAAATCACACGAGATACGCAGACCGACAAGACAAATTAAAGCCACAACGAAAAGACGAACATTATAAATGGATGACCGGTTTCAAATAACAAGGTAAATTGTATATAACTGACTAGATCTGTATGATAAATACATTCTTGCCTGGAGGATAATAGAGGCACTGTATTTCACTAACGTGAAAACTGCTTGGGACCAGTGACCGTCACAATAAGGGAAACTTACTAGAACTCTATGGAACTCCAAAAATACACAGAAAGCGAATAGGGATATAATTAAAGATCAGAAAAGTTTTTCCATACAAATAAATCACACATAAAAAACTGCAAGTATATTGTATATCCAAAGCAGGGTTACAGTGGCGTTCGATCACCAAGTAAGATATTCAGAGTAAAAATGGACACCATTATTTAGTAAATAATTTTATAATGACTAAGGAGTGACATGAGATTTAATCTTATCAAGCTCATCCTGTCATCTTGTCAGTTTAGTGTCCTAATTTCAACACATACCCCTGAGTTTAAGAGAATTTATTCACTAGATCAGTGTCTCTGAAAGCAGTCCTTTGGGACCTTCAGACGGTCCATGTTTTTGCTCCCTCCCAATTCCCTGCCAGTTGGGATGGAGTAAAAACGTGGAGCTTCTGGGGTGCCCGAGGATTTCTTTGAGAAGCACTGTACTAGATCATTCTCTGTACTGTTTATACCATTATATCCACATCGAAAACCTCATATAAGTAAATTAATTCTAGAAAAAGGCCAGACCTCATGGATGTATTGTGATTTTGTAAGCTTTGATATGAAGCTTAATATCTGTAGGCTGGAAGTTTCCGATAACCAGGAGCTGGCAGTGAGGAGAAGTGACTTCAGACCTTCTGTACAGCCGGTCTATAACGCGGACGCTTGGAGTGGCTGTCCTCTCTCCCCTCCCTGAGTGTATCTCCCCAAGTTTCTCCCAGTGAAGCCCTGTCCTGACTCTAACCAGAACCTGCCGATCTGTTTTACGCATTAGCTGCGTCCGGAAGCCGGGGCGTAACGCCGCTTCGCCCCAGTGGCTGCACGCCCTGCGGTTTTGCAGCAAGCGATGGACACCTGAGACAGCAGTGGACAAAACACAAGACAAGCATCTGACTGAGCTCCAGTCTGAATAATTACAGCTGCACACTGACCCCCCCCCACCAGCATGTCATCAGACACTCATAATTGCTCTGTATACATTTTCTGAAGGTATAGCTCTCTCTTGCTGCACTTTAAGAGAAATGCTTCATTTAACACTAGTGAAGCTAGGGATCTGTGTCAGTAATTGTAAGGTTGGTGGTTTGAATCCTGTGAAGTGATTCTGCTCTGTTGGGCCCTTGAGCAAGGCCCTTAACCAGCAATTGCCTTGTCCTGGGTATGACGTTAATCTACATCCAGCCCTATAAGGAGGTCCTCCAACTTACAGGGAATAACTCGGGGGTTGGTGGTAGAATTGGCACTCCGGCCACCAGAAAAAAACTCACACTGGTCAATTTGGACTGGTGTGGTGCTGAGGTATTGTCTACTACATGGCTGCACTCAGGTTCTCCTCCCTGAGGTGGTGGGTGTGGCACCATACTGTAATCAGTGCATGCACCTTACCTAGGTGCAACTGCTACCACTGATAGTAACCATATTGCTCTGTGATGGACTGGCACCCCATCCAAGGTGTCCCCTATACCTCATACCCTTTAACATCTTGTCCAAAATATCCCCTGCCCTGTGCACTGTGTTTGTGACTATGGAAGATGGATGGATTTCTAATAGAATATACAGGAACTTAAATATTGACTTGTTTCTGATCAATAGGATATGCAGGTGAATTGGTGCTAGTTGTTAAAACATGATAAAAATCTTTTTGGATGTTTGTAATGCGTCTTTGCCTGCTTATGATTGTATGACAGTAGATATATATTTACTGTAAAAGTCACATTCTTAATGCATGCAGTCTGTTCAGTGACTTCAAGGGGATTATTAAAGGTTCAGTATAAACCCTTATCACCATTCAACAGACTACTAACAGATGTGTATAAAGTCTGTAACACAAAAGGGGCAATCACTGACCTTTATAAATGACTGTGAAATAGGAGAAACAAACTCAACTCACTGAGTTATTTGGATTAAGCAGGAAAGTCTTTAATCTTTAATCTTGTAAAGCTGTAGGAACACTCACCTGCATTTCTTACCTAATGTGGACTTTGCTAAGTCATCTGTGTTTTAAAGCGGTGATTGTGAAGGGTCTTTGCACTATGACCCAGATGTGCATTGGATCGGGGCTTTTTGCGTGCTCTTTAGTAAAGCGTGTTAGTAGCGCCATCTGGCGGTGAATTGTCTTAAATTTCTGAACACCTTAACTTAAAAATTAAACGGTACATTATTTGCAAATTGTATGGGTGCGTAGGAGTTTTCACGTCTCATCTCGCTCTTCTATGAAACGTCACAGTATCAATAATGAGGAACCGATCTGCCCAATACTGCTTTATAATGAATATATGTTTTTGTGCTTCCGCTATAGTTCCGAAACTGCATTCCTTTAAATGAGCACAGTAATTCATAAATGAAGAACACAGACATGCTGTTTTCTGTTTTGTTTTAATGTATATTATAGTGTTTACATTCATTTGGCGGCACAAAGACAAAACTGTTTGACGTGCGCGCGGCTTTAAAAATGCACAAATAACCGCAGCCTGTGTACAGTACAAAACACGAACAGCGGACGACGCGGTGCCAACGGTTTATGCCAGTATTTTTAAAAACCACATAACGTGTTATTTCCTGACAAAATGACAGTCCTGTTGATTTACATTAATGTTTTACATTCATTTCAAGAACGCAATAATTGGGGTTTTTAAGTTAACATATAAATTCTGCTGTTAAATGGTCTGTAATTTAAGGCCTTTTAAGCAATATTAAAGGTACTTCGTCAGAAGTACTGAGAAAAATAAAAATAATACCGTACTGGAACAGGGCAAACTGGCCACACAAACATAATGTAATAGTAGTGCAGTTTACAATCTGAGTTTCCTGCTTCACTGATCATATATCCAAGATCCTGTTTAGTAAAGACCATGTGTAACTATGTAGGGGATGTTAACACTGCTACAGAGTCCCAAAAATGATTAAAATCCAGCAAGAGGAAACGGAGTGGGCCAATCATGACCCCAGTAATCATCATGCCACCCACCTCCTCAAAAATGTGCAAACTATAAATAATAATTAAAGTCAAGGAGCCTCCCACTTCTAATAAGTGAAACGTGGGCTTCTGGCTATTCTTGGACGACTTTTTGTCATATATTTTCCATGAGGTGCCTTGAATGATATGGGAAGGTAAATCCCACTTATGTGAAATTTGACTTAGGTGTTTGTGCAACTGATTATTTACGTCAGTGGAAAGCTGCCTGTGGCGCACAAAGCAGAAAGGTGTAGGATATAATCATCGGGATAAAAAGCCCCCCCAGAGTGTATAATCCTAAACAACGGCGCTGGTCTGGACCCAGGTCCGCACAGCTGAGGAGCATCTCGCTGGGTTAGAGCAGAAGCATGTGGGTGGAGCTCACGGGTGGAGGCTTTGCCAGCTATGTCTGCAGCTCTAGGAGGAGGCTTTTTTCCCGCGAGCGTTCCACCTCATCTACGGACGCATGGGTCTCCTGCAACTCCTGCAGGACGCTGAAGAATCTGCCAATCTCATCTGGCTTCGCTGGACCTGGAAGGGATGACCCAAGCTGTGACCTGTGTGCTTCTGTACATGCTAAAAACATCAGTGGTAAATGTTACTGCGTATGAATTATAACACCACTCTGTTCGGGGTAAGCATTCACATTCATTTACTTACTAGATGCTTTATGCAATTGAGTGGGCAGGCAGTCCCTGGAATAATTGAGTATTAAGTGTCTTACTCAAGAGCATCACTCTGCCAACCCTGAGATTTGAACCAGTAACCTTCCTATCACAGGCAGGATATATGGACAGATAGATTATACTCTAACCCTTTGCTAGATAAGCAGCATGGAAGATGAATGGAAATTTGAAATGGATGAGGTGTTAGTCAGTGTGTTTGAATTCAACATCTTTACCATTATCTTCCATCACCAGGACCTTCTCTAGGTATTTCTCCCTTAAAAAGAATGGCAGAACATTCAGTCACCATCAGTCAAGTCACGGCATAACTGATACATGCAATGAAAACGCAGAGCTACCTCATTACTTGCTTGACCCCAATCAGATGTCGGAAAATTAGTTGACTTTCCAAATCAGGATCCAGCGGGTCATACCATTCCTGGAGGGTGACCCCATGTCGAGTTTTATCACATCCTGCATCTGGTTAGAGGACAGCCAACACCAATGTCAAACACAGACCAAAAATTCAGTCCGCCGTCTGAATAAAAGGGCCACAGGTGGCTGCAGTACCGGCTTTGTCCTTTTGGTGGCAGCAGCTCCACTTGTCTCCCTTATAAATTCCGGGGTGATAGGAGCTCATGGTATCTGTGTTGTGAATGCAAGCTTTCCTTAATGCTGAGAGCCACTGGTTCAGCTCATTGACGCTCTAGAAAAGCAACGTTACGGTAAAGTGTTTAGGGACCAGCCACAGAGCTGAGGAGGCATCACCGCTATTGCAGGTGTCTCTAATCAGGTTACCTTGCAATCCAGGTAGAGGGTCTCCATCTGGCCATTCTCCTCAGAGGAGATAATCTGCATGACATTGGCACTTCCAAAGCTCTTCTCTTCTACTTTCTCCACCGCTTTGATCTTCGGCAAGGCAATGAAAGAGCTTTTCTGCAAAAAAAGAGTAGCAGCTACAGGAGAGACAATGTAAAACCTTCTTCTACAGCCTCTGGAAGTTTCAGGGCTCATGTGTTCATGGGAGGTTCTACTTAAGCTGCTGATGCGGTGAAATGCAGAACCGCATCTCCGATACACTGATGGTCAGATCCAGACCACCTCCACCAACCAGCTCAGACCTTTTTCATCTCATCAACGTCAAGAAACATGGCCGGCATTTTTTTTACACTGATCTGGCAAATGAATACTGATTCCCACATTAATGCCCCTACCGCCATACTTTACTGGCTTTACTGGTAAAAGCACAAAAATGAGTAATTCTGTAAATGTGCCGATGGAGGACTGGTAAGTCACCTACACACACTGAGGTCTCACTGTGGTCTGACATTGTCTAAGCTGATGTTCATTACAGTCTCTGGGAAGCTGAGTCCTGCCATCCTCTCTAAAGCTGGAATGTCGCCTGAGACCTGACATTTCTGTTACAAATTAGCCATGGGCTCTATGCAGCATACTTTGTCCTCCTTTGTGTTTTTCTCTCAGCTGAAAGGAAAGGAGGACAAATGTTTTCATTAACAACTGCGGTCAGGCATGGATCGGTCATGACCTTGTAGAGCAGGAACACCACAAACAGTCGCATCGTTCATTAATGGACAAAACGGCCAAGCACTTTCTCATGTCAGTACAAGACAAACTGTCGAATTAAAGACTCACATTAACACAAAGATTTCATTAATTGGGTAGAAAGGTTTATCCAAAGAGGCATTTTTGGAAGATCAGGGTCAGCCAGACCCTGTAGCAATTGGTGGTTAAGGTCCTTCGTTGGTGACCCAATGGTGAAATTATTCTGCCAACCCAGGGATTTAAATTGGTGACCTTCTGTTTACAGACGGTGTCCAAGCACACTGAGACACCCATCCTTTTAAAATTTGATCAGAAGTCACAGGGACAAGCATCCACCTTCTAATCGATAGTATTAGGATCACTGAGCTGATTTGTGGTCAGATTAATAATGTGAAGAGTCACAGACCAGGCTAACTGCATTCAGCAGACTGACCTTATTCCTGTCCCCCTCCCCCAGCCCCACCTTGGAGTGCTGTGTCTTTGCATAGGACAGGGTGTCCTTGCCCAGGGTGACATAGTATTTCCTGAAGGGCGAAGCCATCAGCATGCACTTGTCCTTGGTCCTGTGCAGGAGCAGGAACCCCTCCTTCTCCATGGAACCACACTGAAGACCCACCTGAGCCTGTCTACCTGGGTCTAAAGCATAGTGACATTGAATACAGAGGACAGCATTTAAAGAGATGCAAGGAGGACAGCATTCATAATGTTGAAAGGAGGACAGTGTTCACAATGACACAGGGAGGACAACACTCAAAATGATGCAAGGAGAGCACTGTTCACAGTGATGCAAGGAGGACAGCATTCACAGTGATGCAAGGAGGACAGCTTTCACAGTGATGCAAGGAGAACACTGTTCACAATGATGCAAGGAGAACACTGTTCACAATGATGCAAGGAGAACACTGTTCACAATGATGCAAGGAGAACACTGTTCACAATGATGCAAGGAGGACAGCATTAAGAATGATGCAAGGAGGACAGCATTCACAGTGATGCAAGGAGAACACTGTTCACAATGTTGCAAGGAGGACAGCATTCACAATCATGCAAGGGCAACAGTATTCACAATGTGTGGAGGACAGTGTATACAATGATGCAAGGAGGACAGCATTCACAATCATGCATGGAAGACAGTGTTCACAATGATGCATCAAGGACAGCATTTATAAGCCACATAGTATTTTCTGAAGCCCTGATTTTGGGGCTGGCTTGTGGTACAGAGCTGCTCACCTGCTGCGTTGCTCTTGGGCATAAGGATCTTGTGACGATTTTGGACATGAACAATATGTAACAGATCTTGTGATGATTTTGGCGTTATGGAAATTCACAGGAGAAGATTATGGGGGTCCTCACCTTCCCTGTCCTCAAAGCTGACCAGCTGGGTGATGAAGTCCTTCAAGTGATCGATGCCCTGTTGGATTGTGGGCTGCAAGGGAACCATCCACGGTTCTTTGGAGCAGCAGGCCAAGGTGTCCAGATTGCCGATGGTCTGTATGGCCTGAGAACACAGGACTGCAACTGTGGAAATGGGAAGCCCGCCATTTCCAGAAAGCTCTTACAATCTGAGGGGCCCAGGCCCGCAGTGGGACACGTGCTCCCTCACCTTGGCCAGCAGCAGAAGCGTGCGGCTGGTGCGGGCGTCCGCGTGCTTCTCCCGCAGGTGGAAGAGCTTGGGTGACATAATGGCCGGAGAGATGAAGCGCAGACACAGGAAGCTGGTGACAGCGATGAACTTCACCTTCTGCAGGGGATACAGAATGCAGGGGGACTGAGTTTCGCTCATGCTCATAAATACTGCTCTCCTTTTAAGTCAGGCCACAGATAGTGTTAGATAATGGCAGGGAAAGCTCTGGAGAGTCAATGGGGGACTCTGAGACAAGTTAGAGAAGAATCAGAAAACGAGAGAAGGGATAAGTCCCCGGAGGGAAATGCTCCAGGAAAACACCAGTACCCCAAACATGGAGGTGGTTTGTGGCTCAGTGGTTTAGGACGTTGTGCCTATGATCAGGAGTCGCATTCAAATGCTTTGGTCGGCAGAGAGATTTTGCTGTTGGGCCCCTGACCCCCAGTTGCTGAAAAGAACTGTCTGATCTGCTTTGTCAAACATATCTCGTATAATAAATGTAAACATGGCTTTCCCAGTCCACTCACCCTGTACTCCTCCCCAGCCCGCTCACCCTGTACTCCTTCCCAGTCCACTCACCCTGTACTCCTCCCCAGCCCGCTCACCCTGTACTCTTTCCCAGTCCACTCAACCTGTACTCCTCTCCAGCCCAGTCACCCTGTACTCTCCCCTGTACTCCTCCCCAGCCCGCTCACCCTGTACTCCTTCCCAGTCCACTCACCCTGTACTCCTCCCCAGCCCGCTCACCCTGTACTCCTTCCCAGTCCACTCACCCTGTACTCCTCCCCAGCCCGCTCACCCTGTACTCCTTCCCAGGCCACTCAACCTGTACTCCTCCCCAGCCCGCTCACCCTGTACTCCTTCCCA